ACCATACGCACGCCATTCAAGTAGTCGCAACGTGTGTGGTTGGATGCGCGCCAAAGCACTGGGTTGGAAGCGAGCCGCCTTGGTGTATGTCCTCTGTGCAGCCAGCTCATGAATTTGACGAGAGACGATGGTAATCCCGGTGTACTTGGGCTGTTCCGTGGGTGCTTCAGGCACAATCCGGCACGTCCTCCAACCAAAGGCTGCTCCAGCATTGGCATTGGCCATGGCCATGGTGGAGAATTGTTTGGTAACTAAGCAATTGTTGTGGTTGGTTGAGCTGGAATTTCGGCAGAGTTCCTTTATAGACTTGAAGGATTGGAAATAATGAGGAAAACTGAACTGAAACTGAACTGAACTGAAGAACGAACTGAAACTGACTACCGGTAAGCTAGCTACCTGTCGTACGATGTAGAAGGATCGATCCGTCGCTCGCACGGGATTTGCCCGTTGGTTGCCTCTTTGTTGAGATACGTCAATCGTACGATTCGATAGGATTGCAACATTGGATCTTTGGCTTGAGTATGTACCAACCAGCCGTTCGGATCTCATTGATTGGGGGAATCGAAATTGGTGGTAGGTTGTGTGTACTTAAGCGATTATTGGAATCCTCTCAGTATGTGAGTTGGTCTTATGTATGCAGCGCCCCTGTTATATCTTCCTTGTTGCAGTTTATTTAATCCTTATTGAGAGGATCTTTTTTTCAATGACTGCCGAATACTGTAGTTTTCTACGTAGCATACCCTCTTTGATCCTGACAGTATGTAAGATCCCAGTAGTAGTAGGGGGAAGCACATACTGGAGGCTGGCAACCTACCTGTTCAGAAAACGCAGTACCTCAGGTATGTTAAAATCTTGGCGTTATTTAGATTAGATCATTACGTGGTACCGGCCATGATGTAACCAAACTCCACTACCTCAATATAAAGGGGGTTAGGATAGATTAGACCATTACTATGGTACAGGCCAGATGTAAACAAACTATTCCATCCTCCTCAATATGAAGGGGAGAGTTTAGGTATATTAGACCATTACGTGGTAGCGGCCAGATGTAACGAAACTCCACTCCTCCAATAAAACATCGGGGTTTAGGTAGATATAGAACCATTACATGGATCCTTGGTCCAGATGTAACCAAAACTACCACTCCTCAATATGAAGGGGGGTTTATAGGTAGATTAGACCATTACGTGTTAACCGGCCAGATGTAACCAAGCTCCACTCCTCAATAATATAAACAGGGGTTTAGGTAGATTAAACCATTACATGGTACCGGCAGATGTAACAAACTCCACTCCTCATATTAGAAGGGGGTTTAGGTAGATTAGACCATTTACGTGGTACCCGGCCCAGATTTAACCAAACTCCACTCCTAAATAATATAAACAGGGTTTAGGTAGATTAAACCATTACGCAGCAGCTATCTAAAGCACGTATACATTCTGGGAGCTTATGGCAGTAAGTATTAGCTATTTGCCAATCAAGTGACAGCCCTTTTGCTAGGTCTATTCTATTTCCGTGGTTGCGAACCGGAGGCATCTTGTTTGAGAGCAACAGCAAGTTTCCGTGGACTGAAGTGGCTCTTCCTGCGAGCAAGCACTTCCAAAGCCGCGAAAAAATGGTGCGAAGTGGTCCGGTCGGTACAATTATGCCCGTTATCTTTGAACTTTGAACATGATGCGAAGGCAGACGAAGCATTCAGCCAAGCTACTAGCAACCAAAGACAATACTAGCTAGCTGCCACGCCGTCTAAAGAAGACGCCATCCTCATTCATTCAACAAGCCATGTGTTGTGCAGCTACCAGCACCACGGAGTCCGCGCTCCCACCATCTGGCTCTGGCATCAATATTCAGCCAACCTTTTGGAAAACAGAAAAGCACCGATATGAACCATCCTTCTGGTTGATAGCACGGGTTGCCGTCCTCTACAGTTTCTTCCAAATAGTGGAGAAACTTGGCGTCTTTGTTTGGCCCAAGATTCTGGAATATACAGTGACCCATGGCTTTGATGTACGCTCGATTGCACTGCCGACACTGGCCACTATGGGGATTGGTGTCTTCTTTCTCTACAGCTTTGGGTTTTATGGCTTTATCTACGTATTCCTAGACAAGACACCGTTTTTCCAGAGATATCGGGTTCACAAGGGAGACTGGCCCTGGAAGGTTGATCCCAAGCGATGGAATGCCTTGCTCTGGACCACGACCATTCAAGTGGTTTTCAACTTTGCTCTCTATATTCCGCAAATGTTAATGATTAAATTTGTACTGGGTACACCGTGTCCCTGGCGAGTGGACGTTGAGACCTTGCCTAGTGCCGGAGAAATGTTTTGGCAGACCGTTTTCTTCTTGTTCATGGAAGATTTGATTGTTTACCATACGCACAAGGTGATGCATTCAAAACGATTCTACTGGATGCATAAGAGACACCACAGCTTTAAACATTGCTTTGGGGTGTGCACTGCATACTCACATCCCTTTGATGATTTGGTTGAAAGTGCGGGGCCGGCAATAGTTGGTCCTTTGATTTTGTGGGACCGCATGCACGTGTGGACTCTGTTTGTTTGGTTGGTAGTGGGGATCAATTGCACTACTGAGACTCATTCTGGATACGAGGTAAGAGCAGCCAGGGACAAAGTCGTTTGTTTGATTTCAATCTTTTGTGGATAGATCATTCTCACTATCCTTGGGTTGGGTCGTTGGTGACACTCAGCTGCCTTGGTCCATGTATCAATTGATACCATTCATGTGCACTACGGATTTTCACGAGTTTCATCACCGCTTTCCCACCAAAGGAAACTACTCCTCGACTCTCATGTTTTGGGACGAAGTCCATGGAACAAACAAAGAATACTATGCGTGGGTTCAGGCAGGAAGGCCCTTCCCAAGCGACAAAGAAGAGAAAACCAAGGATGAATAACTGAGGTGATAGCTACAGAAGCTAGGAGGACCTTAGGAGGAGAAACGGTTCTACCTGACCAATGTTTTCCAAGCTCCAAATCAATGGAGTTCGTGTAAACATCAGGTCAGAGGAGATGATTACAGGCAGGAAAATCGAGCAATTTTCCCTACTAGCATGTTGACTGCTTGCTTTTCTGAAAGTTAGACAAGGGTTCTAGATCTTCGCTAAGTTGGACTGTCTAAGTTTATAGTTCTTCAAACAGACGACTCCAGTCTGCTTTCATTTCAGGCCTTGTAACAGCGACATTGGGAGTAGAGAGCCCCGCTGATGGTGAAGCCTCCGGCACCCCCACAGAGAGAGAAGCTGAACCATGGAACTGCAGTCAGGGATAGAAGGGTGTCGTGTTATTGGACAAGCGTAAGCCAGTACCAAGGCACTCTCCGTCTTGTAGAAAGATGCTGTCTAGGAGTCGATTCTCCTGTGATACCCTCACACCAACTGCATCGCCTGCCTGAAACCTGGGCCCCCAGCTATCTCTGAGGTCAACCTTCCATTGCTCAGATTTCCATTTTAGTGTACCGGTAGAACATGCCCTTGGTCTCTGATGCTCTGCTACACATGCTACAGTGTATCCCCCGGTCGGAACTCTGCGTGAGTTCCCTTGTATTTGTCCAACAGGTGTTGCCCCGACGTAATTGGTGGGTATCGTGCTGGGTTGTCTTCCGAACAGCAAGTTGGAAGACAAGTAACCAGCGTGTCAAAGTTTGGCTCATAGAAGAACGGTATGGAATATCTCTCGCCAGCTTGGCTACCCGAGGTAATCACACGATGCAGGGTTGACTTGAAGAGTCCATTGGACCACCGTTCCAGCATGTCCCCTGCATATATATTTGCCAAATAACCAGGGGGCATTGGTAATAGTGAGTTTTCGTTCCTCAGGTCATTCAGCCAGCAACCTTGACTTACCTAGATTAACTACGAAAGCACTGGGTCTGGGCGGCACATCAATCCACTGGTTATTGTGATAAATTTGTAACCCAGGGTTGTGATCAGTTAAAAGCAGCGTGATCATGCCATAGTCGCTTTTAGAGGGAGATTGAGGAAATGCGAATGTGAATGACATGCTGCCAAAATGACGCCGTTTTGACCCGCAATCTTTTTCACTCACCTGTGCGCCCCACAGGCAAAGATGCCCTCCTCAGGTTTACTGGTCTCATTGGCATAGTGCAACAATCGTATAAACGGCATGGGCTCCTGGAAATGCGGATCAAAATAGCTCTGATCCAATTCCAACGCAAGTGCCAAAAGCTGTGTCACTCGAAATCCCAAACGGCTTACTTGATCTAAGTAGTCATCCATGACGGTCCGGAATTCCTGACAATCCTCTTGGGTGAATTCTCCCTGGGTGTTTTCAGGGGTGGGCCAGCAATTAGGCCCCGCCAATTTGGTAGGATTGAAGCGAGGGTCGTCCTTAGGGATTTCTGTGGCAATGTAGAACCCTTCCTTGGTGTCGCCCTTTTTCTGGTTCTTTGGATCCAATGTTTCTTGTTCCATTGATGTGTACCCACGGCTCATGACAGGATCCTTCAGAGCGTCTTTGGATTCATTCGACAGACCAAACAACCGTTTGGATTGATCCATCACTTTGTCGAGGAGATCTTGGGATACACCATGACCTTCCAGATAGAAAAACCCCGTTTCGATGCACGTTGCTCGCAGCAGCTTGGCAGTTGCATCCAGGTTGTCTTCGTCATCCAAACGGATCACTGGAACGGAGTGGGAATTGTTATTGCTGTGGTTGTCCATGGTAACACTACATGACATTGTAGAGGACATAATAGCTAGTGGATGAGGTCGCGAGTTCCGCCTTTTCTGCGAAAGAACGGAAGCCCGTTAAGCTGGTTTGGCACCGATTTGGAGCAGTTATCCGGTGGCATACCGGTACTGTACGGTACCGCTACCATACTAGCTAGTACTGGTACCGGTACGGTACTACATTTCTGCAACAGTAGTTGCACAGCCTCAGTATGTGCTTCCCCCTACTACTACTGGATCTTACATACTGTCAGGATCCAGGAGGGTATGCTACGTAGAGAACTTACAGTATCGGCAGTCATTGAAACAAAGATCCTCTCAATAAGACTCTCACTATTAAATAAACTGCAACTGTGAAGATTTAACAGGGGCGCATGCATACATAAGACCAATGCACATACTGAGAGGATTCCCATATTCACTTAAGTGTACTACCACATACCGACTCGATTCCAATGCGATCCAATCGTTCCTGCCTGTTGCAGTTACTAGCTAGCTAGTAGGTATACTCAGTGAATCGTACGTCGTTGCCGCATACTCAAGGCGATCCCGTACGACTGTACGTAAAGAGGCAACGTAAAGAGGCAAACAACGGCCAAATCCCATGGATCGATCGTCTCCGTACACCCGAGTTCAGTTCATTTCAGTTCAGTTCAGTTCAGTTTTCCTCATTATTTTCATTCTTCAACTCTATAAAGGAACTCTGCCAAAATTCCAGCTCAAGCAGCCAACCAACAATTGCTTAGTTGACCAAAGAATTGCTCCACCATGGCCAATGCTGGAGCAGCCTTTGGGTTGGAGGACGTGCCGGATTTGCCTGAAGCACCCACGGAACAGCCAAGTACAACCGGGATTACCATCGTCTCTTCGTCAAATTCATGAGCTGGCTGCACAAGAGGACGTACACCAAGGCGGCTCGCTTCCAACCCAGTGCTTTGGCCGGCATCCAACCACCCCGTTGCCGACTATTGAAATGGCGTGCGTATGGTACGACCGATGTTGACTTCAAAGACCAGCAGAAGCAACTAACTTGCCGCTCCTCTACTCTTGAGCAAACAAGAAGGCTATCCTTCTACATGCCCATCAAAGGTGCCACATGGAATGGAACCTCCGGCAATCCAACCAAGTCGGATCCTGTGAACGAAGTGGTCAAGGAAGTCAAGAAAGCGGAGACTCAACACCGCGGCAAGAATCCTGTGCCACCAGGGATTTGACGGAAACTGAGTATCGCAAGGTGGTCCATGAACTCTAGGCAAAGGGAGCTTTGAATCGACCATCCGTACAGCCTGCATGTTGAAGCAGCAAGTCCATCTCATCACAGGACGGATGACATCTCCAAGTTGAAGTATTCCGACTACAAGCCGCATCCAGACTTCCTTTTGCGCTCAGTTGCAAGGTGCATTGGTCCAAGAATATTCGGAAGAACGACAATGCCCCGACCAAATCATTCTTGGGTCGTTGGATACCGACTTTTGTGTATGCTCGGATTGGCGAATTACATGAGGCGTCCTTCAACTACGGGTATGGCGCCGCTGGTCGGGAAGATGCATTCCTCTTTACTCCCGAAAGCGATCCTCAAGTTGGCTCCAAGCACTGCAACGCAGCTACCGCAACATTCTCAAGCTGTCTTTTTGTCGGCTCCATTTCTGGCTGTGGCGCTCCTCATTGCTGGTGTTCTTGGGAGTCACAGCATTCGGAAGTTTGCTGCAACTCTGGCAAGAGGGATGGGTGCTACTGCTGACGAAGTTGACATTCGAGGTCGCTGGAAGGCTCGCTTGTTGGACGGGTTGTTGATGCCTACATTTCGCCTGAACAGCCCTGGATCGACGCTCGTGTTGCCGAAAAGCTTTGCATGGGGGCTCCTATTGCCTACAAGCTACACCCGGATGCCAGGAGAGTGACTCCCGACTGGTTGATTGAGCATGTGGTGCCAAGGACACACGCCTTTTACGACGGTGTCAACGACATTTCCTTCACTTGCTCTGCCTCTTCTGTGGGCTGCTCTTGACGATCTTGGGAGGAGAGGATGGAGCTCCCGTTCGTGTTAGGATCCAAGATGCGTACGAGCGCATCAGGCCGATGTTCCTGTTGGCGTCAACCTGTGGTGAAAGTGCCTCTCTCTATTTGGGACGCACAACACCAAGCTCCACATCAACGAAATCGAGCCGATGGATACGGGAGGGGCGGTGGCACGGCTGGTGCACTACGGGAACGACCGGCCAGGCAAGACTCGTCAAGTTGCCAATAGTCTCGGCAGGTGACGGTTATGCAAACGCAACAGCAGTACGAACGAACGAGGAGTTCTGACAAGGATTATTGCGCAGCACAACAGCTCCAGCAGCTCATTGCGCAGGAAGGTAGGACCCGCGACATTCGGCTGCTGCTTTGAGAGGTTGGTTGGAGACTTGGCTTGGCGCGGAGCTGACGAAACTCAATGGAATATTTGCAGGTAAGTGTGACTTGTGGCTGTTGGCTATTGCAACCATGGCTATTATTGCTGCTACTCTATATTTTTGTTTGCTTTTTAGGATTGCTGTTCAGCTCCAAGGATGGCAACACCTGATCAGGTAGATGGTAATCTTTTTAGAAAGGGTTGACTGTGGAAAGGACTCGCCGGAATGGCCAGACTAGCCTCAGGTACAGACAAGCTGTGGCCACCACCCCTGCTGATAGTAGGCCTGCCAAGCTAGCCAAGTACAGAACTGTTGCTCTGCTTGGCAAGAGTGGATGCATGGTATTGGTGCAACAAGCCAGCCAAGAACTTCACTGCTGATGATATCAGGCTTGCAAGTCAACCTACTCCAGGAGGAAGCCACTCTGGACTCTCATGGCTACACTTGTCAATGCTCAGAAAGCCCCAGCTTGGGTCATCTCCAAGATTGAGGAGCATTACAAGGAAGTGTTTTGAATATTACTGCTGCCATCAAGCAGGACACCATTATGGGCAGTCTGCATGAGGATCTTTGTATTGTTCGTGCTCAGTAAAGTTGACCTTAGTTTAATCAGCATGGTAGCCATGCCTTATAGTGAGTCTGTTACATGAGGACTTGTGGATTTTTGTGGCTTTTCGTTTTCGTGGACTTGTGCTTTTCGTGGACTTGTGCTTTTCGAACGTTTCGAACGTACTGGCTACTACCGGTAGTAGCTACTAGCTAGCTAGCTAGCTAGCGATTTCGAGGACTTGGCCTTTTCGAGAGATAATAGAGGTGCGTCCGTTATCTTAACAGTGAGTAGTAGAGGTGCGAGCCTCATTTATCTTACCGCCAAGGCGGTGACCTTTACTAGGTCGTCACTGGTATAGAGGAAGGATCGTACCCAGCATACACCAGGTGTCGCCTGGTGTTGGATACCTTGATCAATACGTCCTGTAGGATCCACTACCACAGGTACAGGCTCTCAGTATTTCTCTCAGTTCTGGGATATACTTTTACCCTGCACCCCGGTGGAGGTGTCAGTACAAAGCCGCCATCCACAAACCCTCCTTCTGTCCGCTTCTACCGCATGCACAATCTGCATTCAGCTTTGCTTTAGAGGGTACCGTTTCTGGGGTTGCTTTTCGGGATTTTTAAATGAGCCGACCGTGATTAAATAATGCTCTCGTCGCCCTTGAAGTAACCTCGGTACATGTACATCCAGCTTGCTACAGTAGAAAAGACTGGGAGCATTGTTTGGACTCACTCTCTCTTTGGGTTTGTGTGCCAAGCAATGGGCTTCACTGAAACCTGCAACGACTGTTGAGCCAACCAGTTGGGCACAGGCGATCCAAGCCCCAAGAAGTAAGACGTCTAGACCCGTTGGTGCTGCCGTGGCGGGTGAGCGTTGGGAGTGCACACCTAAAAAACATAGCACAATTCGAATACTACCTATTTACTTCGACAATGTCCCGGTACGGCAGAGAAAACTTCCAGCAAGTTTCAAAGACGCGGTCAGGGACCGAAAGTTGCCACCACTGTAGACCGGGTAAAGGGTGCAGAAACCGCCACAGTAACCGTAACAGTACACTGTCACAGCAACTCTAACAACATATTTGACGACAAGCAACACTGGTTTCCACATCCACTCATCATAATAATTGTTTGGCATGCTTCTTGGGTCTCAGTACTCCGCTTCGATGAAGGAACCCTCCCAGCACTAGGACCAACATGAGCACCCACCCCATTGTGTGATAGGTCGAGCCATGCGAATACGGATGAGACGACGCAACCGGACCACCACCACCGCCGCCATCACTATTCGATACCAAGCCTCGACTCAGTGAGGACGCCGGCAATGAGCCTCCTCCAGACGATGACGATGAAGGAGGCGCTGGCAACAAAGGCGAAGTTTCATTCCAGATGCGTCGTTGTAGATTGCTGGCGACTCCCCAGTCATTCTTTTCATTGAATTCGTCTCGATCTTCGAAAGGGACCCATTTGAGGTTACCACACCGATTCTCGTGCATTTTGAGATCCTTATTGCTGAATCCTGCAAATTGGTAGGCCTGATCGAGTGTTCGTGCCGTTCCCAACCCGAATCGCCCATCGACAATGAGCCGTTCCAGTTCTGCATCCTTGTGTGGATGACGGGCATCCTGAATGCCCATGAGAATGTTGATGCGTCTGACTCCGTCGGGATAGACGGTTCCTTTCAATTTTGTGAGGTGCTCCATGTAGGACCAATCGACATTGTCAAATTTGGCTTTTCGTTTTTCATCCGCCACAGTGGCCTTTTTGGCGTTTTTCCGTCCCCATGTATGAATGACGGGATTACTCTGATGGCCGACATAGTCGTGAGTGACGAGTACCTTGTCAGGCGTGTAGACGTCATATCCATGTGAAAAGAATCGAATGCCTCTGGATGTTTCTTCTCCATCAAATACATTGTCGAGGTATGGGTCGTAGGGGACGTTGAGTTCGGCATGGCATTTCTGAAAGGACATGCCGGCCCCCCAGACGAGGTTGGTCAATTTGGGTTTGAGGGCCCATCTGAGAGTAATGACAGTGAGTAACTAGAAATGTGAGATGAAATCATGAAACCGCAAAAAGAGGATAGAACACAATGCTGTTGTACATGATACGTACCGAATGTACTTGGTTCCCCAATTTCTCCATGTGGACGTGAATGTGATCATACAAAGATGCGGCACTTCCTTGGGATCCTGATTGTTTTGCGTCATATCCGCGACGTACGTACTGAGTACCGCTCTATCATTTTCGGCTCTATGAAACATGGCAATGAGACCATTGTCAAACCCGGTAGAGAAATCCATGTGACTGTCGGTTTGCATGCAGTAATCTCGTACGTCAACTGGTTCGAGTCTGTGTTTTCCATCCTTGGCATGTCGGTAATCGTGTTCAATGAGCGCGCTGAGTTTGGATCTGGCATCGCAGGGTCCCTTGGCCAATCCAGCATCAATAGTAACCATTTCGACATTTTTTTCAAAGTCTTTGCAATTAAAGGGCTGCCCATTGTTGAGTTTGTTGGTCCCGGGATTGTTGTTGTATGTGTTGCAGGCCATTTCCCAACAATCGGCATCGTCGACCAGATCACTGTCGGGCTTGAGTTGTTGCAGGACACGGACAAAGATTCGATGCGGATTCTTGGCGCGTGTAAACAGATTGTAGAGTGTTCGTGGACACAGTTGATCTCGGAAGGACGCAATCACCAAGTGGATCTTGTCATTGTCCAAGTCATGTTCTCGATCTCGATAGTACGGACATTGGCCGGGGCTTGGACAAATGTTCGGGTCAATGGGGGTATTGCCAATCCCATCTTTGCCCCACGACTTTTCGTCGCGGCCCAGAAAGGCAACTCCCCACGTGTGATTCTTTGCTGGTGGCATTCGGACGAGCTAGCTAGCTAGCACTCACTATTAACCAACAGTTACTATTGGTGATGGCAAGAAGAAAAATGGATGTGACTTCTTCCTTCGACGTTGTTGTGTAAAGGTTGTTGTGGAGGTCATCTTGCAAAAGATGAGAAAGGGGACTGAAGTTGAACCGTGAATGAACTCACACCACCAAAGTCATCGAAACAACGGTCAACACAGCATCCAGCCTCCGCAGAGCTACAGGTAGCATCGGACAGGACCAAAGGTTGGTTCCATAGAAGATAGATAGATAGCCAACCAAAACCAAAATGGCAATAACCAAGAAGAAAGGAGAATCGACCACCAAGGCAGCAACTGTCCAGTCGGCCAAGAAGACCCAGGCCAAGCACGAAAGTTCCGACACCAAAGCTGCTAGTAACAAGTCGGGTGGGTTGGACGAAATTGAGTCCTTGTTTGCCGAAAAGAAGAAACACAAACAGGAAACTGCAGCCAAGCAACAGCAACAACAACACGATGCCAAGAAGAAACAAAAGCAGAAAAAGAGTCCCGCTCGTGCATCCTCATCCACCACAGATTGGGTCAATGATGGGTTGGGTGGAAGGTTTAATTCCGAGGGATACACGGGGCGAGTAGAGGATGGAATGAAGATTTTCAAAACACACTTATTGCAATCTACCAAGAGCGGGTCCACTCCGGACTGCCCGTTTGACTGTAATTGCTGCTTCATATGACCACATCTATCTATCTTCGTAGAAAGCTTGTAAGCAGCGACTGTACTAATGGATACTAGCTAGGAACTAAATATTATTGTACAGTAGCTACGGTCACCAGCTAGCAAAAATGAATTCCTGCATCATTGAATTCCGACAGCAGCTGCAAGAATTCGTCCTGATCCATCTTGGAGGCTCGTCTACCTTTCCACGCTTCTTGTTCGAGGATTTCTTCCAAAATCTCCTTGATGGTTTTTTTGCTATTGTCGTTTTCATCATCATTATTCTCCTCCTCCATGGAATCTTGCTTCTTCTGTACTGCTAGGGCTTGATGTGTCTTGCGGTTGCTTTCCAAGAGTTGCAACGTGGACTTGGTCATCAAGACGGATCGCAACGTCTTGTTTTTGCGATTAAACAGAAGTCGAATCTATCAATAACAACAGCCAATTGGTGAGGATGGAACCAGAAACACACATGCCCATCTCAACAATCTTATTATTCTTACCATTCCATCCCATTCCACAAAGTTCACTGGTGGAGGTGGCTGTTTGCATTGAATCCTGACAACTCTGGATTCCACCTTGGGAGGAGGTCGAAAGTTGTTTCTCCCCACTTTCAAAAGTTGATCTGCTTTGGCGAGTAGTTGTGTATTGACGGATAATCGACAGTACAAGGCTTCTCCCGGACGCGCCGTCAGTCGCAAGGCAAATTCTTCTTGAAACATGAGCACGGCACATCGAAAATGATAATGCTGCAGCAGTTTGAACACCAGAGCACTCGATATTTGGTACGGGACATTGGCCACACAGACATCAAACTTGGGCCACTGCGTGTGAAGAGCATCTCCTTGAATAATATGCAATTTGTTACGCAGGGGAGTTCCCTCCACACGTTTGTTGAGTTCTCGAACCATGCGATGATCGTATTCCAGTGCAACCACCTGTTTGGATTTTTCCAGCAAGGGAATGGTCATGTTTCCCGTACCAGGACCAATTTCCAAGCAAATATCGGTGGACTTGACACTGGATTTTTGAATAATCGATTGAATGACGGCTGGATTCTTGAGGAAATGCTGACCCAAGGAAGTATTGGGAGTGATGAGATTGTTGTGCTTGGGACCAGAATTAGAAGAAGGGTTCCCTGATCTCGTAGTAGCGCCTCCTCCAGCAGACATGGTCGAAGGACCATGATCGGCTCCACTCCTGCGTTTCCTGGACGTCTTGGGCATGGTTGCGATTACTCAAATGAACAGTAGAATAAAACCAGGGAGCTTGGTAGAATTTTTGGGAAACTTCAAAAGAAGAAGAAAACAAAGCGCCTCGAGAAAAAGTGATGGTGGGTGGTGGCAAAAATTCGTTGGTGATGCGGTCAGGATAGTTGGGGTTAAGGCTATTAATTTTCCTTACGGACAAACAACAGACAGAAAACCAGTGACTAAAACTAGCCCAGTCACGGGTCATTCCGACAATGACCAAGGTCAAGACCCCCAAAAAGATTCTCAAGACTCTTTTTGGCCTTTCCAAGAGAAAGCGAGCAAGGACGACGCAGCAGAGCAGTCACAAGACTGAATGCTGTTGTTTGATGAGGTGCGCCGAAGGAAAGAAAGGAAGGCAACAACACGAGAAAAAAAGACGCATTTTGCTGTTGAGCAGGAATGTCTAGATTGGTGAAACGAATCCTCGGCAAAGGAGAAAAAAAGGACCGGGTGAGAAACCTAGTAGTGTTGGCTTTCCTGTAGTGATTTCGTAGTGGTTGATTGTTGAGTTGGAATTTCATTCGTTTCGTTACAGGCCTGCCGCCATGGTTGGCTGATCGCGAATCGAAGCATCAAATCAACAACAACATCTGCTTCTTGCGTGATGTTCAATTCGTGTCTTGAATGTGAATCCGCCGGCTGCCGTCCACAAAATAAATCTTTTCTTCTTGATGTGGAGGCACAGACATTGTGCGCATGACCTTACCGGTTGTTTAACGTCTCTCGTGAAGAAGTTTCGTAACTAACTCTTTTTTGGCGCGTTAACTCTTTCGCGGTACTTTTATTTAAGGACGGCATAGCACAAGAGTTTTTCGGGGAGTCTAGATCATCACAAGAGCTGCCTGCGTCTGTCCCCAGTCCCCCACCCAAAGCAAAAGACCCACCCACCAAAGCCAAACAGTCACAAAGGCGGAGCAGCGCAACCCGCGCAAGTGCCACAAAGGTCAGCAACAGCAGCAGCAGCCCAAACAACAAAGGAGGATCCACTGCTGTGTCTACATCAACCGGTGTCAAGCCCTCGCAAGTTCAGAAGGTCAGCAAAAAGCCATACGTCCCCCCGGCTCCTATCACTGCCATCGTTCAAGAGGGCAGCAACACAGCGGCATCCGCACCCGCTTCGAAACGTAGATCTTCAGGCGTTGACAAGAAATCGGCTGGAGGTGAACAGCAAAAGACCCGTAGGTCCTCCACTACTTCTGCCAAGAAGGACCACCACCACCACCACACAAGCACTAGTGCTAGCAAATCCAAAGCAACAAAGACTGCTGCGACTCCGCCACCACCGCCAGCGCCCACTACTACTACTACTGACACCATGTCGTCCGACAAAAAGAAGGATAGCCGGAAGAAATCATCCAGGAAAAAGAGCACTCATGAGAGACAAGAGGATCTGAAAACACCAGAGCCAAGTTCAGAGAGTGGAATGCGCTTTGATGAGCTCTATAGATTGAAGGGAGTGGTGAGTGTTGAATTGAACAGGACAATTTGCGGATCCAACCTGCTGTAACCCCAGCTCTAATCGAAGAATTCCCTCTCACTGATCGAATTCGTTTTTGCCTTTGTTTGTTGTTGATGTCGCTTGCAGCTCGGAACTGGTGCCTTCTCCACTGTTCGAGAAGGATTCCATCGCTCCAACGCAAATAGTTCATATGCCGTGAAATGTGTAAACCGCAAAAAATTGTCCGAAGAAGATGAGGCCGCTTTGTTGGACGAGGTGGCGATTTTGAAAGCAATGAAGAATGTTCACATCATTCGCCTCTATGACTTCTTCACCGAGCCATCCACTTACTACCTCGTCATGGAACGAATGAGAGGAGGGGAACTCTTCGACCGAATCGTCGCCAAGGCATACTATAACGAAAAGGAAGCCCGTGATACCTGTAAAATCCTACTCGAAGCGGTAGAACATTGCCACAAGCACTCGGTCGCACATCGTGACTTGAAACCCGAGAACTTGTTGCTCCTGTCAGAGGAGGATGACTCGGCCGTCAAGATTGCTGATTTTGGATTCGCCAAGATCGTCAAAGAACCCAATTCCTTGACGACACAGTGTGGTACACCCGGATACGTAGCACCCGAAATCCTTGAAGGTAACGCCTACGATGAAAGAGCGGACATGTGGAGTGTGGGTGTCATTCTCTATATTTTGTTGGGTGGATATCCCCCGTTTATCGAATCCACCCAACGTGACCTCTTCCGAAAGATCCGCAAGGGCGAGTACGAGTTCCACGAAGAATACTGGGGCACCGTCAGTACAGAAGCCAAAAACCTCATTTCAAGCCTACTCACGGTGGACCCCGTCAAAAGATTAAGCGCAAAGAACGGTATGTTGAACCCTTGGATCACCGGCGATGATGCTGCCCTAGAAGGCAGAGATCTGGGAGCCAATCTTGAAAAGTTCAAGGCTTTCAATGCCCGACGTAAATTCAAGGCCGTTGTTCAGACTATCATGGCCGTGAACAAGCTGAACTTCATGGGAAATCAACTGAATCTGGATGCACTTCAGCCACGGGGTGATGATTGAGCGGAAAGCGCTGCATTCTTTGGCCGTCGTCAAAATTACAAAAATCGGTCCATCCCATGATGATGATATGATAATCTTACTTTCGAATCGAATAAACTAACTGTGTTGCTTGGATGAGTGTGTGTATCAAAAGTGAATGAATGGAGTACGGATTCCACAACAGAAATGCGTGTTGCTTCTTGTGAAAAGTGTAGACTGCGCGACGATATTATTTACATTACTAATTTAAAGAAATGCAAAGCATAACAGTGTGTGCTAGTGAGATGGCTGACCCCAAGGTGGTCACTGGAGTTTGCGTTTCGTAGGTGCGTCGGCCCCTTTTCCTCGTTTCCAGTTGTCGCGTTTGCTGAACCAGGTCCTCTCTGCAGCCTGAACCGATTGTAGTGCACTATGCATAGTTACCGTGCTTTAGCTGGAGACCTCGTGGCAGTACTTGCCCCAACGGACTGCAGTAGGGCGTGGAATCTCAATCATCATCGACGAGGCTCGGGGGGGTGCTGTGCAAATCATGGCCATGTAGGTACCGCCCCCGGTACGGTAAATGTACTCTGAAAACATACCGGTACGCACGGTACTTTCGTTCCCCTCTGCTTGAACCCTACAGCTTCCTCGGTTTACAATTACTTTAGGATGGAATGCCACTCTTCATCGATACAGCAGTATTGCTACTTCTCCGGCCTCATCAAAAAACATCAAAAAACGATGAGGCAGGACCTCCAAATTCGTGCCTTCTTTCATGTCTTTTTCGGACAAGAATAGAGCTACCTTTGCTACATGTACATGTACAAGAAAATCTCCATACACCGTAATTGGACATCCACCACACCACCATCCTTCGTGCTACTGGCTTGCCACTCCATACCGTATAAACTAGCTAGCTAGAGCTGTGGTAGCTGCTAGACTACTAGTACATGTAGATCTACCTCTACCAGACAAACTCTCACCTCGACAGGCCTCCAACCGTCAAGCTGCTGACCACCAGTCTTTTTGGATTGCTATTCATTGGCTTCCTCGTGCGATGCGTGGATGGACGTCGAGTCGAGTGACACAGTCATTCAGTCTTGTGTGCAAAAAGCGATCGATTTGGATTCTATTCGATTCAAGCCATGATCGAATCTGTGTCGGATATTTTTTCCTGAGGATCCAAGAACACGACTTTTGACCTCAAAAGATTTGATTTGATTTGTTGTCAGAAAGAGACCATGAGAACGGCCGCTGCCCTCTGGAGCGTCCTTCTTGCCGCCACAGCGGCACTAGCAAATGCTGGGAACCCATTCTCATCCAATGTGATTGCGTTGACGCCAAAGAACTGGCGGCAAGAAGTTGAAGGTTAGAATACTGTAGCTTGTAGCATTGGATCGTTGCAATTCTTGGAAATGGTTGTGTTGTGTTCTCACCTTCATTGAATCGAATCATGGCACTGCTTTGGCTATCACAAAGAATCGCCACACGCGGTCTTTGTAAATATTTGCCGTCAGGGCTGAGGCTACTGCCAGCTTCTTACCCCGGAGGTGAGTCGAGTCTATTAGATACATGTATTACATTATGTTTTTTTTATATTGCACTGACTGCTGATTTTCTCGCTTTCAATTTCCGGGGATTGCAGTGGGAGAAGCTGGCTGGTGCCGTGAAAGGTTAGAGTCGAGTCACAATGGATCACAGCAATTTCTGGGAAATGGTTGTTTTCGTTTCTCACCTTTATTGAGTCATGGCTACTTTGGCTATCACCAGGGACGGTAAAGATTGCTTGTCTTGGAATTTGGCAAAATCGGCACCGTCTTTCACTTTCTCGACGAAATCTGGCATTTGCGCATCCAAAAAGCGCTTCATGTCAACCGCTTTCCGCTCATATTGGTAGTCATTCACTGCTTTCTGTGCATTGCTTCCTGGGTTTTGTTTTCTTTTTGGGTTTGTAAAGTCGAATGGTAGTAGTTCCTTTAATTTCCCCCAACAAGGGGGGTGGTCGTGCTCTTTGCTCCGTGTCCCAATAGG